GCTGCATCAAGCGTAAACAAGAATGTTAGATAAAGCAAAAGTAGGTCCAGATCTAGAAGGGCAGTTTCGTACTTCTAGGCGGCCGGCTAGGAGTTTGAGAAGGAGTGGCCGGCTGTTTTTCAGCAGCCGCATGTTTCCTGGCGGTACCAGGAGAACTCGCAACAGTCGTCTTCCGGGCTTTGGAGTTCGGTTGTTAGGAGGAGGAAGTTCTTGGTGTGCTCGTCTACAAAAAAAAAAAAAAAAAAAAAAAAAAAAAACACACGGTTAGTGTATGTATAAACCCAACCTCTCAAACATAAAAGGGGAAAAGGTGAAAGCTGGGAGCTTACTAAGGGCGTCTCCTTGTTAGGAGAGTCAGCTGAAGATTGTTGCATGATGGAGGCACGCAACATAGCAGCCGCAGTCTTGGAGGCGGTAATTTTGCTCATGGCTTCCGCTGCATGAATAAATGCTAAAGTTAGCAAAGGTTCATAGAAATAATTTCTGCAAAAGCAAGTATTCGTTAGGCCGGCTACCTCTTGAGCACCGACTGCTGAGGCCACAGGTGGCCAGGAAGTACTCGTCATAGAGCCATTTGTAGCTCAGGACGCAGTGCAGGGGTACTTGCTCTCGTACCCCTGTAGTAGAGTCGACCCTCGTCTCTACTTTAAAGCGTCCTTTGTCTAGGATCTCTTCTTTAGCTTTTGGGGGAACAGGCGGCATGCTGCGACCGCCTGCAAGAAGAGGTGGGTCTCGGTTCCACCTGTTAAAGCGTTGGTTCAGCTCCTTGTCAGAACTCTCAATGATGAGGAAGGTGCTTCTCCAATCCTTCCATTTGTTTTCTTTACCTCTTGTCATGAGGTAGCCTCGGTGGCTCATCAACTGGTACCAGCCGGTACCGCCTGCCTTAGGGGTCCGACTGAGATAGTTCATATGGGCGAAAGCCTCGAAGTTTGGCTCCACCCCGTACATTTCGCACCCGGCTACATAGCCGAGAACGTTGAACCAGGAATTGGGGGCTAGCTGCCATATCCCCAGCTCATATCCGTCCAGGATCCGCTGAACGGCCGGATGTAAGGGGAAGCGCAGCCCAGCTCTAATGGCTGCCTCATAGCAGCCAAAGCAGGCGCTATCATAACTAGTACCATCCGGCCAAACGACTGTGTCTTCCGGATTCGGCACAAAAACTAAGAAGCCAGGGTCCATTACATGGTTCGCAATAAAGCTCCCCACTTTTTCTTGCATGGCCTTGATCCGACCTTTTGGAACCGTGCAGTAGTAGGGGCTGTTTTGCTCTCTGTAGGAAGCGGATGGCTCCGCCCAATTGTCCCCTTTCTCTACTGCATGAGAAAGCCTCGCCTCTTGTAGGCGGTTGTGTCTCTCCTCTGTGTCTAGAGAAGGATGAGTCCGAAGAGGACGACTCCTCTCCTCTCCCAGAGGGGCCCGCCTCCTCTCCTTCAACAGGAGCAGGAGAAAATGTAGACATGTCTACGGTAAAATGGGAAGGGACCACCTTGATCCCTCCCTCAGAGCTGTCGGCGGTCAAGCCGCCTTGGTTCACTTCAACATCTGGCGCCTGGTCAGATGTCTCACTAATCGGCACCTGGTAGGAGGAGCCGTCCGAGTTTGTGATCCTAGCAGTTTTTTTGTTCTGGCCATTATGTCATGCATAGACACAGAGACAGTCGAACTTTGTATAAAGGGCAAAGATTGGTTCGAAAAAGGGCAGGCGACATTCCTAGTCCTATACTCAGCCGTCCCCGGTGACCGGCTAGTCACTAACCTAGGTCGTGTCGTATGCTTCCGTGGTGCCATTTCAAAAAGGAAAAAATAAAGAAAAGAAAAAGAATGAGAGAACCGACGGTTACCTGAACGAGTGAGGAGTTGACGAAGTTCTGGAAAGTCTGAGTATCAGCCGACTTGTCAGAGCAGGTGGTAGGCAGGAAGTGTCCGGAATGTTCGAGCAGGTTCAGAGGTCCGAGTGTTCTCTTAAAAAAGTTCTCAAGTGTGAAAATAACTGAGGTCAACACGCCCTTATATAGGCAAAATGAGAAGGCGAAGGGTCATTCCCAAATTCAAAATTTGAGCGGGAAAAACTCTCGGCCTTTCATCAAGTGACACCTGTAGCAGGCTGTCGCTTGTTACGGTCCGACACCTGTCACAGGTAACACGTGACCAGTCACGTGCCACTGTGAGGGGCAAATGATTAGGGGATTTTTACCCACCAATCACCATCTGACAAGTGGACCAATCAGGTTCCGCCACGTGTCCTCCACGTAGGCCAATTGGAGCCTGCCACGTGTCAGTCAGTGATTTGTCCACCATTGACCAAATGTGACACGCCACGTGTCTTTTCCCATGAACCATGGGATAGCTAGCCGACATGGCCCAACCCTTAAGGAGGCCCAGTCAGCCCTAGGTTAAACCTAAACCTAGAGAGTGGCACGCTTCCCAAGGTTATAAATACTTTCATTAATCCTCATTAGAGGGGATTACGCACATTAAACACTCTCACCTAGAGGGACTCATTACCTTTTTCCTCATTAATTACTCCCTAAACAAGTGCTAACTTGACCGTTGGAGGCGGAACTCCAATCACTCGGAGTATCCGTTGGTTTTGCAGGTACTGGCGTCCGGTTCCAGTCTCGGAATTGTAACTCTCCCGCAGGACATCAGAAAACCCTGAAACAGGTATCATGCCAATTTATAGTTGTTGTTGATAGTGATTGTCTTAGTGCTTAAATAAGTAGGCATATTGTTTAAATGTAAGTCATTTTTTGAGCAATTGTTGTTGGTATTGTTAGATCGTTGATTGTAACCTGATCAATTGGTAGGTGTGGTTAAGCTGTGTTGTGTTTGGTTGATTTTGGAGTATGTTGAAATTAATAGTGAGGGTTGTCTTTAAATTCCGAAATTGATACTTGGAAAATGGTTGTTCATTGGTATGGTGGTTTCTGTAGCCATGAAAATGATGTTATGTATAATGTAGATATTGTACTTTGTTACTTGTGGTGATGTTATGTATGTGATTGTTTTATGGCCGTGTCATTGTTATAGAGGGGTGATGGTGGTGAGGATGATGTATGTGGTAATGAGGAGGGATTTGAGAGTGAGCATGCATGAGTATGGAGAAGGAGATGAGGAGGAGAATGAACAGGGATCAGAAGATGATGGAGAGGAAAGGGGGTCAGATTATGAGGAAGTTGAAGTGGTGGAAGGAGTTGAAGATGAAGGAGTTGAAAATTGAGGGTTATAAATGAGTATTTGAATTGGGTAATTATAAAATGTAGACTCTTTTAATTAGATGAGGAAGATGTTAGGCTTAGGAACCTTTGTTATGATTAGGACCCTTTGTTGTAAATTTGATATGAACTTCAATCCACGTAATTGAGTAAGTAAATGGCTACTTGGTAGTGTTAAATTGCCATAATCTTTGATATGAAAGTAGATTGTTTATTGTTATTTGATAAAATGGGTGTTTTAGTTGAGTTGATGAAATTTGTTTAATGTATTATAATCATTTGGAATGTGTTGGTTTAAGAATGGTAATGGAGTGAAGGATGAGTTGCTGCTAATTGTATGAGTTATTGTCGAACCTGTTTGTGTTTAAAATTGTACAAACCAAAAATAAAAAGCTTTGAACTTGTTATTTATCGAACCAGTTGCTGTTAAAGAAGGTTAAAAAAAGTTATGTTATGAATTATGTGATGTAGTTTGTTGGGTTTGGTGTTGTCGTGTATGTGTTTGGTTATTGGTTGTTTGTTGTATTGTTGTATTTTGAATGAGTCATGGTTGTGTATGTGAATTAGGTGGATGTTGCTAATGGATATGAAGATGGTGGGGAGGATGATGTATCTGTTTATGAAGAGGGATTAGAGAGTGTGGGATTAGTGAGTGATGATGGATTAAGAGAAGGTGAGGTGCAGGAGGATGAAGAGGGGGAAGGGTTTGAGGTTGAGGATAAGGGGGCTGATTACGAGGAAGATGAAGTTGAGCCTGGTGTTGAAGGGGAATATGATGGGGCTGGTGCAGAAGGTTCCTCATTCATAACCCCAAAGAAGAACACGATAATGGTGCACAGTGTGTTTGGTGTGGAAGAGGAAGTACCACCCCTAAGTTTGGGCATGGTATTTGGGAGTTGGGATGAGTTAGATACCTATTTCTGGATTTATGCTAGGCAAAAGGGTTTTGGTATAGTGAGGGGTGCTTCTGGGTGGGTGGATGTGAAGAAGGAATTGGAAAAGGGGAAGTGTTGTAAGCAGAGAAGGAATGCAAAGTGGACTTGTGACTGTTATGGTCACGCTTCAAGGAAGCGTAAATAGGATGCACTTAAGGAAGGGTTGTTGCAAGATGAAGAGACAGTTCAGAAACGGAAGACTAAAAAGTGCGGGTGTCCTGTGGAGTTGTATGCCAGTGTTAATGAGGAAGGGAATTGGGTTGTTTGAAGGCTGAATTTGGAGCACAAAGGTGACATTGTTACTCCGGGAAAGTCAAAGGATGTAGAGATGTACCGGAAGCACGAGTTAATGGTGAAAAACAGTCACTTGGTGAAGCAGGTGCATACGGCGAAGAAGTCTAAGGTGAAGGTATCCCAAATGTACAATTTTTATGCTCGGGAGCGTAACGGAGTGGAGGAGATGACATTTACGCAAAGAGACTTGGAGAATGCAGTGGCTCAAAAAACGAGACTTGAGCTTACTGAGGGTGATGCGAATGGCATGATAGAGTACTTCAACAAAATGAGTGCCGACAATCAGAATTTTTTCCATCTATGTCGGTTTAGGAAGGACGGGGCATTAAAAGATGTTGTGTGGGTAGACGCGAGGAGTAAAGCTGCAAATGAGGAGTTTGGAGATGTTGTGTGTTTTGATAATACGTATCTGACAAACAAATTTCACCTTCCCTTTGCTGTGTTTATCGGTGTGAACCATCATGGGCAGAGTATTTTGTTTGGGTGTGCATGGATCTCTCGGGAGATGGCGGAGACCTATGAGTGAGTGTTGAGGACTTGGCTACATTGCATGGGGGGTAAAGCTCCTGTCTTAATCCTAACGGATCAAGATCCGGCAATTAGGAAAGCTGTAAACTTGACTATGCCTGAGAGTTGCCATAGGTGGTGCATATGGCACATACTTCAGAAGTTTGGGAGGTATGTGGGTAAGCATGAGGACTATGAAGCTGTAAACGATGAGTTTGAAAATATCATTTATGGTAGTTTAGATGCTGATGAATTAGTAGATCGTTGGGTGGACGCAGTTGATTATTACAAACTAGGTGATAACAGTTGGCTTGAAGGTACTGCACTTCCATTTCTTCCGTTTTTTTTTTTGTTTTTTTGTTTGTGATTGTTGTTGATTTATGTTAGAATATGCAAAGGTGTAGCTATCTCTGTGCAGGGGACTTGAAGCTGTTTCAGTTCTGATTTAGGGTAGGAGCAGGTTTAGTGGTAGACTTTTGTACCACTGAATTTTGTTGTTGCAAGTTTCTTAGCCATGGCACAATTATGAGACAGTGAATGTACCATTCACAGGAGTCCAGGTGTATAAGGTTTGTATGTTTTTAGATGGGCCATTAATTGCAATTATTTGAAATGTAGGGCTGTATGAGGAAAGACACGTGTGGATCCCAGCCTATTTGAAGCATTTATTCTAGGCCGGGATGAGAACGACCCAATGTTCCGAAAGTTTCAATCACTTCTTCAAAGGTTATGTTGACAAGCATACAACGTTGTCTGAATTTGTGCTTCGATACTGTGATGCAATGCAGGTAAGGGCCGAGTCAGAAAGAATTGCGGACTCCAACACACTACGGTACATCAAGCATGTAGCTACCGATTTCCCAGCGGAGGAAGTGTTCCAGAAGTGTTACACAAACGCGAAATTCAAAGAAGTCCAGCAGGAGTGCAAGAGGATGTTATACGTGCGTCGCCTAGATTACTATGAAGTTGGTGAGAATCAAGTTGAGTTTGTTATTGAGGACCGAGTGTGGATCGAGCCAAAAAATGCAAAAAAAGAATCTGTGACTAAGACTTGGAGATGCTATAGGGTGTGCTATGAAAGTAATACATATTAAGCTAGTTGTGACTGTAAACACTATGAGTGCCATGGAATCATTTGTCGACATATGATCTTTGTGTATGACCATTGCAGTGTTTCTTTTGTTCCTGAGAAGTATATCCTACGTCGTTGGAGGAAGGATATTCAAAGGAAACACACACGAGTGAAAGTAGCTTACCATGATCCACTTAAAACCGAGAAAGCCAGGCAATATCACAAATTGATGGGGATGTATGAACCAATTTGCTCTAAGGCTTCAGCTTGTAAGGAGGGTGTTGAGGCTGTGGCAAAGTTGTTGCAATTGATGGACCTCAGAGCCGATGAAGTGTTGGCAATGGTTGCCAAAAAACAGGAACATGCAGCTAAGGATAATGAAAATGAAGGTTAGGATGATGGCGTACATTGTGTTGATCGGACACCTTCTTCTGTGGCTTTGAACAAGGGGCCTGGTTGTACAAATACACCAACCACACATGCATCTGGGTTGCCAAATACAATTCCTACACCAGTTAGTGCCGTTGTGGGAGTTGTGATGGATCCGTACCAGCAGTGATTAGGGATCCATCTGCCCAAGAAGAAGGCCCATTGTACAACCAATGTAAGGTATCCATCTTGCACAGAGAAAAAGGGAAAAGAAAAGGCTGCTAGGGCGAAAAACGCAGCAAAGAAGCAAGCTGCAGCGGCAAAGAACAATATGTCATTGTCAATGAATGACTATGTGCGATCGATTGGAAAGATTCAAATGAGGGATGTGGATGATTCCTTAGGGTACTTCACTTCTGTTAGGGGAACAAATTCTGGTGGTTTTTTTGCAAGTGTACTAGGTACTCTTGGTACATCAGGTTCCAATCACTTGTAATGTAATCGATTCAATTGGTTGATTAATGCATGTGGAATGTATTTGTTGATTAAACATGTTTCAGTGGTACACTTGTCGTGCATGAACTGTACCATTAGGAAATTATAATCATGTGTTAAAATAGAGGTGGTTACATGAATAGTTTCTTGTGAATGTGCACCTTATGATTCGCAGATTGTTCTTGTAATCAGGGTGGTATATTCTTAGCATATGTAGGATTTGAAGGTCAGAGTAGACGTTGTCAGAGTTGAAATCCATATTGATTTATTCTTTTATTGGTGTTGTTGTAAAATTTTAGGGTTGTTGTTCTGTTTATATGTCCTGAATTTCTGCATTTGATACAACGTAAACTGAATTATCTTTGTTTGATTATGGAGTAGGTGAGAATAATACAGATAATATTGTGAACTACTGTGTTTGTGTGGGTTGTTTTGAACTGTGAAACATATCATTACATACAACAGAAACACGAGTTTAACAAATCATAATCTGCAAGTTAAAAAAAGAAATGTCATAATACATATAATATCTATCATACATGACGTATGAGTAGACCATCTACTATTGTATAAAACACGCCTATTTCCCTAACACATTTACAAGTTAAACAAGATATTGTATTTTCAGCATCCTCGTCATAAAGACCAGCCCATGCAGATAAGTTCTTCTTGTGTTGTAGTTTTTGTTTGCAAAATAAACGCGGCTGTGGCATATAATCTACAACGAACTTATTTCTCATCCAATTGGATATCCTCATGTCACGTAACTTCCTCATGCACTGGACGATCCCTGCAGATCCGATGCTGTTGATAATGTTCTCCAAAAGCTTAACACCTTTTTCTTCTGCCCCGGTGTATATATATGAGGCTTACTGTGTATGCTGCTTCTGTATTTTGCAATGCAGTTGCTCTTTCCAACCTCTTCAACCCTTCGTCAACCTCCATGTAGTTGAAGTATTGTCTCTACAGTAACGTAAAATAGAAAATTTTTAACAATTATCAACAGGATTTTTGTAATATTATAATCAATGAAATTGTCAAGTAATTAGAAAGAAGCCTTACAAATCCAAACTCAAGCAGAGCTTCAGGATGTTCATTCTCCATGCACTTCATGAAGAATGCATCTACCTCTTCTCGGTGTGACCACCTTCGTGTTTCAATCCAAGGGAGGTGAATTTGTCGAAGGACCCTTTTTTCTTCGGCTATCCTTCGCAAGGTCTTGCAACTTTTTTCATGTCATACGCCAGAAATTACATTGTTAAATTCTTTGTGTATAGGGGGATGGGAAACAGAGTACAAATTATTAGTAAAATGAAATCCTACCTTATTTTGCACCGAAATAAATCTGCAGGAGATGACTTAGCAACGCAACACAGAATGGTCGCTAACACTTCCGATGGAAGAATGTCAAACATGGAAAATGAAATTTTTCGCCTTTTCCCTACTACATCCATGTTTTTTTTTTTTTTTTTTTTTTTTTTTTTTTTTTTTTTTGCGTTTTTGTGGAGTCTTACCTCTGTTTTTTGGAGTAGAAGGAAGTCAGGTATTTTTAAATCTTTGTTTTTCTTTGAGAATGTTTAAGATGTGTAACTTAGTCAGTGAAAATGCCTTATTTGTAGACTGTAAAATGACGGTTGATTTTCTGCAAGGGAGTGGATGTAGTGGGTTGGAGATGTAATGATGGTGGTTAATCAATGTTAAGCGCAAATGATGATTTACTAGGGGAGATAAATAAATACGGTACACATAATCTTGGGATATGCCATTTCCCAGACCCTTCACTTAAATTCGTCATAGGAGGAATGCATATGATAATTAATGGTACATGTCTTAAGCAATAAGTGTACCACTGAAATACATTTGTGCTTATTACAATCCAACTTTGTGTGATTTTATGTTTGTACTTGTAAGTGAAGTATACGTTATACTGATTACAAATTTAGGCATGGGATAATAAAAATTGAAAGACGTTGGAATGTTACGTAGAAGAATAAAAACGGTTATCTTTGTTGCACCACAGTAGCATTTGTCGTTACATGTAGTTACAATAGCACCACACTAGCATTTGTCGTTACATGTTGTTACAATTTTACGAAGAAGAATAAAAACGGAAAAAAATTTGTAGCACCACATTAGCACTTGTCGTTACATGTTGGAATTTTCCGCGCCATGACTAAAATGATGTTGTGCGACAGAAAGATAGGATTTACAAAATATACAGAAAAAAATACGCAAAAAAGAACAGAGCAATTGTCGCGACACCACGAGATTGTCACACACACTGGCAACTGTCATACGACGATAATTTTTTTGTGCAATTTAAAGTCAGTTTTATCATATGTGAAGGAAATTGATCTTTGATAGCTTCTTTTAGACGAGATTTTCCATTCCGAATTATTCCACAAAGCTCAGATTAGGGTTAAAGTTAGGTTTGTGTGGGTCGTAGCCATATGGCCTTTCGCTTATTATGTAAATGTAATGTGAAATATTATATGGTTAAGTACTTGAAGTGTGTTATCTTTTTTACTTATTAGAATCACTATAAAAAAGAGCAAATAAATAGTCTACCTTATCATTCTTTTAGTGTATTGTAAAAAGAATAATTATTGTACATAAGCATCAATTGCTATATCCATAAACCATCACAAAAGATAACAAATAAATGCTGAATTTCCACTCATAAACAATAAAATATATCCATTAATCAAACCACCTCATATGTAACCCTCTAAGTTCACAAATGATCACATCATCATTTAACCTATATGAAGCGTAAATAAAACATATAAAAACAATAAAATGCAACAAAAAACTAATGCCTTTAGAACAAGGTCAACGATTACTTACATATAAATCATAAACATAATCATTTAGCAAGTACGACATACTGTTCATACGTACCAATGACATAAACTACAGATTACACTACATCTTCACAACTAGTTCATAAGTTTCTCTAATCAAATGTAAAAGACCCAAAAAAAAAACTTTAAACAACAGTTGCTTCATGTCAGCACTTTTAAAGATCAGTAAAGGAAAGGAAATGAAAAAAGACCCAAAAATGCATCACATTAAACAAAATGACCTATTCATAGCCTTTAGTCATGGACTTTTCCTTCTGTACATATCAGAGTCCTCGCTTGTTCCTTCATCTTCATAGTGGTTCCGAAAATCAGAATCAGAGCCACTACCATTGTCATCATCATCATCAGAATAGTCCGAACCATTGTTTGATTCAAATGATGCATCCGATTTTGGAACAACTTCTTCCTGAGTCTCGGTTTCTAAATCAGAATTGAGGTCAATTTCAACCTCTTCCTCACTCTTGCTTTCTTCTTCTGTCCCACCTTCCTCCTCAACGACGACTCTATCTCCGTCACTGTTTGTTTCAAACACAGTTACTTTCTGTTGACGCTCATCAGCATCCACCTCTCGCTTTCTTTTGTTGCTGGGTTCTCCTTCTTCCATTTTGGGCTCCATCTTAGAGGTACCTTGTTGCATTAAGGCCAGATGATTGTTCATCTTCTGTGTAAGCAAAATATAACAAGAAACTTGAAATATTCTGTTCTTGTGATTTGCTTACATTTGGCTGCCAAGCAGGTGGTTGGAAGACTTTCCCAGAGGTCGCAGTACTATCACTACTGGCCATTTTGTTGTTGGATTTTTTTTTTTTTTTTTGTCGGAAGAAAAAAGATGAACGGAATAAAACAGAGTAAACGGAAAAAACCAAAACAGAAGAACAAAAAAGGAAATGAAACAAAGAAAGAAGAGTTTTTAGTACACAGTATGACCAATCACAATGAATTCCAGTAATTATTACACATTCATGGAAGAATAAAATAGTTATGTCTTCCAAAAAGAATAAAACTATACGTATTCATTGTAATGTTTTGATCTGTTTCGCTATAGTGCAAACATTTTAAAAATCTATAAATAGAAAGTAACTTTTGCAATGTTTCCTATTATGCTTATGCATGATATCTGTACATACGTGTGTTGGGACCGTTTCTGGTTTTCGCCTACCTGTTTTATTAAATTTTTTTGTACGCCATTTTAAACTGAATTCTCTTTAAACCTTAAGTTGTAAACTATATAGCTCATTGTGTCTCATACATTCGTATTTGTTAAATAAAAACCCAAAAACAAAAACAACTTCATATCATCATTCTTATTTTCTAATACCCAAAACTGTATTTTATTATTACCATTAATTTTTTGTACGAAAAAAAAGCGACGCTTAAATGTTCATATTCATTTTTCATAAAAATTCAAAAAAGACAACAATCGTAATAATTACTGTACCACTATAGTGAAGGCGGGACAAATGAACTCATAAAAAGAACCACTGAAAAGGAAGAGAAATTACAGAAGCTAAGTCCGGGGAACTGCAATTTCCGTCACACGTCATTTCAATACGCCATTTAAACTCATACAGATAATAATTACTGGTACAATTCACGAACAATAAGAGTACCACTGGAATAAGTGTCATTTTATTATGGTCGTTGTAAGTCAAGTATACTTTCTACTAATTACAATTTTTGGTATGGGATAATAATAATTGAATAATGCGGTAATTCAGACAACTTAAATTCAGTATAATATGTGAACTTAATTTTAAGTTCCAGCTTTAAAAAAAAAAAAAAAACAAAAAAAAGAGTTTCAAGTTCCACTTGCAATACATCTACTCGAGGTACCACTAAGACACTTAGGGTACCACTATAGTCACGGTGGTACAAATGACCTTATATAAAGAACCACTGAAAAGGAAAATGCTTGTTTGTCCGTCATGGTGGTATAACACAGTCATAGGCCACTGTTTTTTTGGTGTCACTAATATCAATATCTTTGGTCACAAACAACTAATTACTAGAGTAGACCTCATTAACCAATTCATAATCTGTTAATGAATTTGGTACTCACAACCCTTGGGAGATTTACGTTGAAAGTAGGATGCTGTAGAACATTATTGAATGACATGCTGTTGCTTCAACAATATTTTGTTAAAAAGACGTACATATATGACTACTGCAGTTTACCTCAGTAAAAAGACGTACGTGTATGAATTCATGAAGTTGTAATCACAACCCCCATATGTACCTTAAGTTTGTAATCACAACCTTTTGGATATTTACCTTATCAACTAATTCAGTTACTTTGTAATACAATATGTACCTTAAGTTACTTAGACATTCGGGGTACCACTGTAGGTAGGGTGGTACAATTGACCTTATAGAAACAACCACTGTAAAGGAAAATGCATGTTTGTCCCTCACGGTGGTACAACACCGTCATAAGAGGTCACTGTTTAATCAGAATTTTGGTATCACTAATATCAAACGAGGGATTTGGATGGTTTCTTATGGTACTACACCTTTCGTAGGGGAACTAATTCTGGGGGTTTTTCGCCAAGTGTATTAGGAACTCCTGCTACATTAGGTTC